GGAATACGTCGAGATGCGTAAGGCTAGAGAATCGTCCCAGAAAACCCATTTCAGTCGTTTTCACCCGTAATCGAATTTTTTCAGTCATAATCCATAATTCATGATCGTAGGTAAGCATGGGGATGAAGATCGACTTAAACACCGGGAGCTTAGTTTTCAAACTCAGCTCTGATTTACTCACAGTGGTTCGGGTCATTTCACACAGAACGCCACTGGTTACTCCAATCCGGCGGTCGATCTCTTTCTCAGATTTTCTATCTGCAGTAAATGCGACCCCCTACTTGAATTTCTACACGTACTCTCCAGAGAGCAGTGAACAGAAAAATGAGAGGGCAGTAAACTTTCGTTTCAGATGTGTCCATACGCATGCCGTCCACGTCGCCCTGGGTTGTGAACCTTTCTAGGGAGCACTGAAAATCAGTTTCAGAAGATGCCAATAAAACAAGGTCGTCTGCAAACAGCAGCCTTCTCGACTTCACATCTCCTACACCGATACCCTCATCGTCTTGGCAGCTCCTGACTATTCTGTCCATGTGCAACGCAAATAGGAGAGGGAACAGGACGCAGCCTTGGCAGAGACCAGCGCTGAATGGTTTCGACTTAACGCCATTTACTTTGACGCAGCACCTCATATCATAATACAGTGATTGGATGACCCATAGGAGCTGGCGATACATCCCTATGCTCGCAGGCATGACCACACACTGTTGCGTGGGATCCGATCAGAGGCTTTCTCTGGTCAACAAGACATTTACACCGGATGGGCGAACTCCCACGATTTCTCAGCAGTCTAGCGTAGGGCGAGTGTATGGTCAGGTATGCTTCGGCTTGACCTGAAGCTACAGTGCTCTTTATAGATCCGTTCTAAAGAATGAACTATTCGGTAGTACCTCTATTTTAATACCTTTCCATAAACGTTTCCTGGCAGACTCTATAAGACGGTGTCATGATAATTACATTAGTCTCTTTCTTCCTGAACAGGGGTGCTGCCACTCCAGTTTTCCAGTCTATAGGTGTCTTCGCTGTACACTTTGCAGCTTCACAGCTAACACAGAACCCTTGTGTTAGCCGCAAGATTCCTTGTTCATCGATTGCTGCAGCCTTGCCGCTTGACTCTCTTTACAGCTTCCTTGAATTGGTCTGCTGAAAGGCATTAGCATCTGAGCGATCTGTTCAGCAGTCTATCGAAGCATCCATTCAGTACTGCTCATCAGATGACTCTTTCTGCGATTGTTCAGAATCGAGAAGTTCCTCAAAGTACTCTATAGCCGAACAGCTTTTTCATCCTCGGTAAGAGTGTGCCCATACTTGTTCTTCAGGATTCTTAGACTACTCTTCTTTTCGCCTCGCAGGCGACGGATGGTCTGTCAGAATACCTTGTTTGCTGTCTGGAAATTCGATCCCACCACTTCACGGAACTTTCTCCAGGAATCATGTTTCGCTGCCTTCGTGCTCCTTGCCACTTGCCGGTATGCAAGTTGAAAATCGTTTGCTTACTAGCATCTCTTGAATGCACCCCTTCTCTTTGACAGCTAGTTGAACCTTTGATGTTTTACCATGTAGATTCGTTTCTGACCCTCAGGCGGCAGGCGAGCCCATTTTAAACTGCAATATTTGGCAGCTCAAAGTAAGCCCACTTTAGAAAGCTTCCACTCGGTTTCCGCATCAGTGGTCATCACCGGGATCTGTTCAAAGTGTCTTGCGATGTTGTTTGCAAGTTTAGCTCTCGCATCCGCCGTTAATGATGTTTTCTCGCATAACCTGCTAACGACAAGGTGGTGATCGGTTGATTGTTTCGCGGTCCATTAAAGCGATTATCCATTACAGATCCTCGTAAGTCAGACGCTGCGATTATCATATCGATCATCCACTTCTATGCACAAGCTTCCCTGTACCAAGTGTGCCGATGCACACTTCCGTGCTCGGAGGTGTTCATAATTGACAGTCTGTTGTTTGCACAAAACCACAACAACTTCTTGCCATTGCTGTTGAGGTTACTACGGTTGTTCTTCAAAATCACGCCTTTTAATTTTCAGTGTCTTCTCGGGCATGTGCATTGAAATTGCCCATGAGTATGAAAAACTCCGTAGTCGGCACTTCGTGCAGAACACATACTTCCTGCAGGAATGACTCATGTTCTCCCTAAAAATGGGACATATAGACCTGTAATAAGATCAGTGTGGGTTTTAGCAGAACTCCAGCATTGACCGAAACGTGTATGAATAAGTCCACAGCTTCTACACGCAGATGTTCAGAATTCTAGATCTCTGGCGCTCAGTTGACCAGAGTGCAACTGTATCAAGTTAGAACTTAGCCTGCAAGCTCATCATACAGTTTGTGCTCCTTCCCTCTGAGTGAGGAGATTTTCCAATTTCCGACTGTACGCTCGTACTGTCCTTATCGTTCCTGTAGAACCATATTTGACATGTTATAATGGTATCACGCTGTCTCTCTCCTCTGTTCGCAATTGGTTGCTACTCAGTTGCTGAGTGATATCTTCATCGTCTTGTCGATCATCAGCAACCGTAGCCATTCTGTTACCCCCCCCCAGCTGTCAGATGATGTGAAGCAGGTTCTGACTGCTAATTTTTCGTACTTTGTCTCAGTTCCCCATCAGTCTTCGTGGTTCTTGGCACCTGGGGCGATGACCGAGCCAGTATAGCGTTCACTGGCAGCAGTACCGTGAATCACATCACACGGGATCTCGCAATGGTGATTCCATTTCTCATCCGGGAGTGACGCCGTCAGTATCGGAGTTCACTCTATATGTTTTTATGGCTAATGTTAATATTTAGGTAAGAATCTTTCTGTATGAATAATTCGCTATTTAGATGAAAAACCTCCAAAAGTGAATTACACTATTCCGGGCGTCTTGCACTTCATCCAGCATGAGTGGTCAAAGTTCGAAATGGAAAAAGGGCAATGGGAAGTGGAGAAAGCGGAGCTACGGGTAAGCTGTTTTTATTGTTCAACATTCATGAACCTCTGAATGCTTCATATGTGAGAAAAACGACTGAATCTTAATTATGCATGCATACATTCGATAATCTATTCTGACATCCACCCATCCATCGTTTCTTTTTGTTTCTTATTTTACATTCATCCATCTGTTCATTTTCAAAGCTCTCTGCATTGTTCCGTTGTGGATTAGCAGGTTCACGAGGTGCATAAGCAGCAGCTAATCATGTCGTCCAAGCTTTTCAGTACAGACTTCATATAGAGTGATAACTAGAGAGAAGATCGTGGATGAAACTGGTAAAGTCAACAGAGCATCACTGTTGTGAATTGGAACGTTGTTCACTAACTAGTGAATAAGAAAACTGTATGGCTTTATATCAGAAACTAAATGTATGGTTTTACTCTCAGATGATTTTAATTTATCTGCCAACCGCCGCCATAAATTCTTCTAAGGGTAATGATGTACTTGTTTTTCTCAGTATTTTGGTGCAGAAGTGTATGATGGCCATCATCCCAACCTTTACATTGTGCACTTTCTTATTTCATGGTAAATACTTCTTGACTTATTATGTTCAAATTCTGTGCTTATCTGTTTCTAGGAACTGTTCTGTGTATGTATTTATTTTCATTGCATGTCAAATATGGTTATTTTTATCTTGGCTTCTAGGCGAGAATCGCCTTCCTTCAAGGTGAAAGAAAGGGGCAGGAGAATTTGAAGAATGATTTGGTGAGGCGGATTAAAATGTTGGAATACGCGTTGCAGCAGGAACGGTATATGTTCGATTACTTTTATTCATTTCTGAAGACGGTATTTGATGCATAACGTACAACGCTTTAGTATTTTATACTGCGTGTGCAACACCTATCAGTTTGACTTTTTGAGCCTTTTAGTTTTTTTTACTGCGGTGTCTAAATTCTTCGACGTTTCAGGCTCAAAATGGCACGGCTGTTGCATGGAACCAACGATGCGGCAGAGCCAGGAAGCACCAGCACAGCTGAGATAGCAGAGGTTCCTGCCGAAGACCAGCAGATCCCGACCGATGTCGACTCCGTAATATATCATTCGAAGAGTAACTACAACTGGCGGCAAGGTCGACAGCTCCTTCGACAGTAAGTTCGGCAAATTCAATTGAAACGTTATAATTTTTCGTCATATAAAGGTACTTGCAAGAAATCGGTTACACGGATACGATTTTGGACGTTCGTTCTATGAGAGCTCGTTCCCTTCTTGGATTGACTAATGATGGTCAGGCAAGTAGTCACAGTGGCAGTTCTTCCAGCAAAAATTTTAACGGTAATATTATATGTTCATTTGGTGAAGAGTGTTACGTTGCACTTGTGTTAAAGATATGTATGCCGGCGACGCAGCTTCAGCCCAGGCATGTCGCGATTACACAGAGCGGGTGGCAATGGATAGTGAACAGTCAGTGCTGGCGACGATGGATTTTTTGAAGTCGTCGACTGCGGCAGCCAACACCCCAACGGAGAGCGAGAAGTCACCAACGGATCTGCTCGACGAGGAAAACGAAAGTGACAGCGGTGATGAGGACGACTTGCATCCGAACTCAGCACATCAATTTGAGTCTGGAAGGAAATCTGCTGATATGGGAGGTCTAGAGATTGCCGAGGAGGAGGCGTTGGCCGAGTTCAAGTTCTTCCCGGGGGGCAGCAATACGACGGATGAGGCGGATTCAAAGAGCTCGCGACGCGCGAACGACATCAAAGAAGGCGACGACTGGACAAATGTAGACTACAAAGCGGTGAACAAGAAGAAGGCGGAATTCCAGAAGGAAGTGATGAGCAAGAAGGACGTGTCACGAAGTAGTGCACTGATTGACCGGTCCAAAATTCAGTCATTGTTTACCGTCAGCTTATATTTAGGAGTGCCCAGAACGGAGCTGGAAGCAATGATTAATTTGCTTGGAGCCGAAGAGAATCAGCCTTCGACCGATAAAGAAGCTTCCGACGTTTCCCGTAGGCAGTAATCTGTGTTCGATGTTCTGGCTTAATGACTCTAGCAATACAGAAATGCTGCAAGACATGGACGCCACTCTCGGGCGTCTGGGATTGGGTGATTTGGCGAACCTGAGCAACGTCGATGAAGTTGATCCGGTCGCCCATGATGTTACGGTACGTGTGAGACGTTGAATATTTTGTAAATAAGTAGTGCGCTCGATTCGTTAGTTTTTATCTACAAGAGATTATCATGCAAATGCACATCCGAGCAGTTCTTGTCAGCAGTTGTCGATTTCTGTTTCTCCATGGTGACTTTCGTTTTTTATACATACGTACATAATAGGAGAAATGATGATAGAAACCTGGGACTAAAATCGGTTAGTGTTACATGTAGAACGAACCCATGAGGGTGCATGTCGATACTTGACACTGCGATGTGATTTATACGTAATGAACTAGCTTTGATATTACAAACGATGGTTCTAAGTTTTGCTGCAGGACTAGGCATGCCGCATGCACAGATTGTTGAGATGGTAAGAAGCTTAATTGACTGACTCGAAAAATTTCAACAGAAAATCCATAATGTGAAAGAAACGCTGAAGAAAGTTCTGCAGTCAGGCTAGTGTTAAAAATTCACCAAAAAAAGCAATGAAGAATGGAAACAACATTGTAGACTAGCTGATAACTCAACTAACGATTACGACAGCAACCGTCTGCACTCCGTATAGCTGATTAAATTAGTACTACATGCAACCCATAATAATGAAAGTTGTTGAGAAACCTGGGAAATCACCGATAAAAGATGTCTGCTAGCTGGAGCGAGCTCATGCAGTCACCAGCCACGTCAACTTCTCCTGACTGTAAAGCCAATAATTTCACGTTTCTTTATCTTTTTCCTTCGATAACTACAGCAACAACGTAAATTACAGCTGTCTCGTAGCTGAATGCTAATTACAGCCATATGAGGCACTCGCATCAAATGGTATTACCGTACCTCTCGGTTATTTTGGTATGGCCACATCAGACCACTATGCTGCCCATGTTGTTCACAAGTCGGCGACAGGGACTTCTCTGCTGGCTCAGTGAAGCAACGTTTGATAGATTCCTTGCTCAAGATAATTTGCTGCTATGACGAAGATTGTCCATTTTATGGAATCGAACCCGCACCTCCTCCTTTCGAGGCAATGACCTCATTGCCACTGTGCAACATGTAGCATTGCGCCCCTTATGACTGGTTTGCATAAGTTTCGATTCCATCCTGTTTATCTCTGTACGTGCACACAACAAGATATTTAGTAAACGCGTAACTTCACCGAACTGTATTTCATGAGATAGTGGCTAGGCCCCGCCTTCTTGCTGCGATGGCCAAGAATAACTTGATTTAAGTGAATCAAAGGACTCTGCTCCAGACTTGGGTTATCTTCTGCCAAGCTCAAATGCTTTTACATAATCTTTACATAAGAGACACTGTCTGGCGCGTTTACCACCGTGACCCTAAAGGATAAGCCGCCATAGAAACTGACTGGCTGATATCTTCTGCATTGGTATCCTTACTTAGGCCATTATTCTTTCACTTATCACCTGGCGATATGTAGCTGGCATGTGTAACATTTTCGATAGTATAATTTGCTTATCTTCTCTTTTGAAGACAGTTTCTTTGTCCAGAGTAGCAGCATAACTGACTGAATTTGTATTCCTTTTATCACAATCACGGCTTGAAATTCTTTGCATTATAATGCTTGTTCACCTTCTACCCGTTGTTACTGCTTACTGATAAACTTAGTTATTGTTTTTATTTTTTTTTGCATTTGTAACTTTATAACTTTATTTATGCGCCAGTTCGATTTGATTCTTTGTTCAAAATAGAGAAGTGTTCTGGATGTCGGTCAAAATGCGCGCAGTTTTTAATTCTCAGGCACATCTGACGGCACCGTAAACTTCTCGATTCGTTTTGTTTTAGGCTTATTCCCATGAAGAGTCACTGCGAAGAAGCTGGGTGACTCGATTCACGCTACGCAATCACCTGGACAGCGTCCGTGCGATCGCCTTTCATCCAGTTGAAGCTGTTCTCATAACCGCGTCTGAGGATGCGACCATGAAGCTTTGGAACTTGCAGAAGACGTTGTCTGCCACGTCGTCCAACCAGAACGCCAAGAAAGCTGCATCGCACGACCTGGAACCTGTGTATACGTTCCGGGGACATAGGTATTCAAATTAGAACGCTTAAAATTTACTTCTGGTGACGCATAGTTGGTACGCATTTCTGTTTCGTGGCTACTGAGTATGCTAGTGTCGTGGTTCAGACACATCTATCTTTCTGCTTAGCTGTTAACAGTCGGTTTTGAGTGCACTTGTCCGTAGACTTCACATGCACAACGAACATTAAGACTAAAGTTTATCATCAACCTACTAACGCTGATAAATATTTAAACTGTAATCTGCGTTACATTTAAATAATAAAACTTTGTAGTTACAGCTTCAAGAGGCAGATTTCTGAAGCTTTTTCAATTCAGTTAAATTCATAAATAATATAAACCGTAAAATGACGCAATTTCAATTGACGTGAAACAACAACAGTATCAAAGGTAATGTTTGAAATATTTTCAGAATGTCATTTTTCAGTACACGCCAAGGTCATAAATCTCCTCACTTGTTATCAGTGCAAATGGCGTTAGGCGTGACATAACATACTTCTTTATTTTATTCTGACGTTTTGGTTTCTGGCACAGAATCTATAATCGCTGAAATTTTTCACAGCACATGGTTACAGGATACAGTTAAATAATAAGTTACAGAAAAACCACCAGACACTCGAGGTGTAGAAGAAAAACAAGCAAATATGTAACAGAACCAGAGAAAATTTACAAAGAATATGAACTTGAGTTTGAAACTGGAGCAGTCATGAAAATTAATGAGGTCGTGTTTTTTCTTTTGATAACAGTATGCAGTTCCAAACTCGATAGGTATCATTTGAGCAGTAGCTTTTGTAGTTTTTGCACTTCCTTTCCTTGTTAAGTTAAATACGTAGAGATTATTTAAGAGTCTACTGAGGCTGTCTTTTTTACAGTCCACGATGCTGGCGTAAAGTTATGCATGCACTATAAGAAATTGGTTACAATCCCGGAATGATCTGATTGGTTTTTTCTAACAGCATCTTGGTGTTCTTATGTTCTCATGTTAAGGGTCTTGTATGTTTTGACAATGTAGATTCGATCGCAGTTTTTAGAGTTGATCTGATAAATCACGTTAGATTTGTCTCGATTAACTGTAGAGTATAATTGCCTGTATTAAATGGATCCTGGTGGGTTGTGTGTTTTATAAAGATCCAATAATCCTTGCTTTTGGAAATAATGTTTAAGAGCAGGAAAGATGTCTGAATTAAACGGAATTGAGGTAAAAGTTGTTGGCTTTGAGGCTTTTTCTGAGGAACATATTTGGGACAGTGAAGATTGGAATTTGAATAAGAACTTGGGTATTCATTTTTGAAAAACATCTTATTCAAGAAGCTGCATTCCTTATTAAGGAGGCCAGATTCTAAGCAGTAACTTTGAGCTCTTAGTCTGCAGTTGTTGGATGCAACGACCTGTAATGTTTTGTTCAGCTTCACTAATAATAATTTACTACCAAGAATACGGATCCCAGACAAGTATTTCCTTGGCTGAAATTTTCACTGATTCGCGTAAAACCGAAGCCCTCCGCGTATATTCTTCATATTAAGTCGATCTTTCACTGTGGATACATAAAAAATATTTTAATTTTGCATCCTCATTCACACACTTTTTGAAACGACTTTGTTGAATTATTTAATTCTCGTGACCCCACGAAGCTTAAAAAACTTCATTCTTAAAAGAGAAAAAAGGGAAAACAACCGTTTCTTGGCGTTTCAGTTAACAACAGTTCACACAGTCCATTCCATTTCGTTGTTTTCAAAAAGCCACAAAACTCAAACAGCGGTTACATTGTACTTCCGCACCGTTGTCAGTATTACAAATAAACATTTGAGACTAAGGACTCAAATGTATTGCTTAATACTAGGCATTCTGAATAAAGAGTTTAACTTCTTGAAAAACGTATTTCGCAAAAATGGATACTCAAACTCTTATCTAAATTACAATCTTCCTTATCCCAACTATGACTCCCAGAAACAGCCAGAAGCGCTAATATCTGTCATCTCTTTTCTGGTTAATCCTCCCATCTCTTCTGCACCTAAATATTATCTCCAAAAACAAGGCTTCCAAGTTCGTTGTAAAACACGACTCGTTAGGATTAATTGTATACAGGCAATTGTACGCCAAAGTCAACCGTGACAAATCTAACATGGTTTTATCATATTATTTTGAAAACTGTGATCAAATCTACATTGGTAAAACATGCAGGACCCTAATCGTAAAAACATGAGAACACTAAGATCCTGTTAGGACGAACCTTTCGGAGAATTCTGGGATTGTAGCTTATTCGTTAAAGTGCAAGCGTAGCTACGATTGAAAAAACGTCAGCATCTTTGTCTTTGAAAAGAACAAGCTTATCCGATTTATTAAAGAATTTCTACACATGTCACTTAACAAGGAATGAATATGCAACAGCTACTCTATCTCAGATGATATCTGTTCTACTTGGAATTCTATAATGTAGCTGAATAAATAAGCTCTCATTAGTTTTTCCCCTTTTTTGGCAAACCCAGTTCGTGCTCTTTGTTTACTTCATTATAGATTTTTACACATTTGCTTGTTCTTCTTCTACACCCCACGGTAATTTTTCTGTGCCTTTCCACTGAACTGTATGCTGTATCCTGATGTTGCAAAAATTTCCCTTATGTTAAATTCTGTGCCGGGAACTGACACGTTTGAATAAAATAAAATAGTATCTAATGTTATGCGCAACCATTTACTTTGAGAAAAATGAGGAGGTATTTAAAATAATAAACCTTAATTTATTTTCCCTTTTCATTAAGTCTTTGGTCAGTAGTTATAAGGTTACTTGACTCTGGATATTAATGTAGTACAGAAAAATTTTTATGCTCTTAATATCTGACTCTGAGAGTAATAATTCGTTAACATGGGTTTACATATTGCCATACATACATACATATTACTGTGTGGAATGTAACGTTGAAGAAGAGGGAACGCCGTCACTGAAAGAAGAAAGACCCACCTGTCAAGCTGAAGTTGACGGCCACGGACGCACGTGGACGACAGGGGAAATCAAAATACCCGAGAAGAGGTTAAAACTTTGCCCCCATTAAGTTGAAGGACAGTGCAAAAAGATTTGCAGTACAAAGCACCGGAAACGTTAAACATGCTCTGGTGGTCAGGGTGCATCAGTGCTGTCGGGCATGTCAAAGAGACATTAATCATTCAGTCATGCGTCAGTATCAACCATGCAAAGGATTCGAACTCTGCGATGAATAAATGTCACCCCTCTCGCCAGGAAACTGTTAACCGGCAGCAAGGACCAATTATTTAAACGCCCAAAGCATCGCTCATTGTTTAAAGCGTGTGGTGCTGAATCAAAACGAACATCTGAAATCATATGCGCAATAAAATCTAGGTTCATTACTAGTCTCCACTTCTCAAGATATCTTAAAACCTTTAAAATTTTAGGTCACAAAGGGAACGATGTCTCTTCCACAATTTTCACCGAACTTAAAATGAAGAAGTGCATTAGTAATTTAAGAATGTCTGATTTCCATATATGTAAATGTTGTTATATGGAATGTTTCTTGTTGCATACAACTAAATACAAATC